TTAAACTTTGGAACTCTTTTGGCGTTTTACTACCTAAATTTTTTCAGCACGTAAAACATATACCTAAATCTTAGAAGATGTACTTTTCTAGGAAACTGAACAGTTTTAGCGCATATTTACCTATTAAAATAAAAAACCAAGAGTTTATCTATATATTTAATTAGGTTTGTTTTTTATAAGTTACTAGGGACCAAGTAATAAATCTTTAAATTATATTGGTTTTTTGCATTTTCAAAAGCTAATTTCTTCGTGGAAAACATTTTATTGAAAAAAGGCAAGGTAAACTCTCAGTCTTTAAGTTTAATCGTAGGTTAATATGCTTTAAAAATCTAAAACTCCTTCTCTAGGAAGTCTTTACTTCTTAATAAAAAGGTAGTTTGACGCCCTCTTAGTACGGTACAATAAAATCAAAATAAGCGTATGAAAATATCGAGTGAACACAGTTTAATACGTGTAAGGGCGCTGGATAATAAATAAAGTTTGTGTAGTCTGACGGCGTGTTATTGACCATTTAAATCATTTTGCGAAACCCTGAGGTGCTGGCAAATCCGTTAAAAGCTGCCAAAGCGTTCCTAAAGGGGGTAGGTGAACGCCTTTAATACAACATGACGTCATTCTGGACGCTTCCCACCACCGTAAGCGGTTAATTGACTCGGTTAGCCAGTAATCAATACAGCTCTAAAGGAGCTACCTGCCGACAACTCGTTAAAAGAACGACTAATCACAACAACGGACCCTCTATTGTTGTTAATAAAATACAAAACCCCTCGAATGGGGTGGATAAGAGCAAACATTTAATTAATCATATCATTTTACTATTTACTAATGATCAACGACAATACGATTTTAATTTGAAATTTCTTTTATGTAGAAAACTTTAATAAATAACGTTTGAAAAACAATAGCCATTTTTTCGGTGCTAAAAAACTAGCTTTTAACTTTAAGTAAATTATAGAAATGTTAAATTTGAAATTTATGAATGATGATGTAAATTTATATTTTTAATTTTTAAAAATACCCATTATAGTCAATTAAGTCAAATATAGTCCAATTTAACTATATTGGAATATTTTATGAAAAATTAATTTTAAATGACAAAACTAAAATGATACATCTCAAAACCTGAAAAACTATTTTTTGCATACTATGTAATTATTTATGATATAAAAGTAATTTAATTTACATATTGCGTTTTTATTAAGTATTTAATGTTTTTTTTTTATTCCTGATTTTTTATTTATTTTTCATCTTAATACAATCTTAATCGCATTAATAATACACGGCTTATTAAGCTTAAGGGTAATTTGTATAATTCTATTTTACTTGGTAGCAAACAAACTTTACACAAAAAATAAATTATCGGAAAAATCGTTTTAATATCACTATGATCAGTGTGATAAATTTACTTAAAAATGGCGAAGCGTAAGGTTAGGTTAGGATATGATTCAATGACTTAAGTAATGACTCATTCCCTTGAATTATTCCCAGGAATTCCATTGTAACACTGAGTATTTCCGGATATTCCCAAGATACTTTTCGAAGAAGAGATCCTGGGAATTGTCGACAGTCTTAAAATAAAGTTGTAATTTTATGCCATAAATTAATTACATTTTTTTACACTCAATTACCAAGCTAAATATAATGCACTAAGCTACATTTTATAATATCTTGGGTGTGAACTGGACTGGTTTGACGTGGAAAAAATAATTATTTGCCGAGTATGAGAGCCATTGAATTATTTCTGAGTTTGAAATATACAAACACTATTATAAATTATAACCATTTCGAATGTGGCACCTGTCATTAAGTTGAATATTTTGTTTTGTTGAGTAGCCGAGGACAGAGTGGTAACCAGAATTATTTCTTTGATTTTCAACGGCCATGAAGATTAATTGTTTTTTTTTATGTACAAAAATAATATACGGTAATTGAATAATGTAATCGATGATTTGTTCAGGCTAACGTTGAAGGTTAGATATTTCTTGTTTTTATCATGACTTATGTACAGCAAAATAAAAGGTGTAAATATTAAATTCAAAAAAACTCTATATTACAATTTGTCAGTTAATACCAGTGTAATTAAGTGTAAATTACAAGTAACCGATTTTGTGATTTGGATAAGTATCGTATTAACAATACTTATGTAAACATCAGTTAGTTATCGCATGTCTATAATCTACAAACCAGTCTATTTTAAACTAATTGATTGAGGTATTATAAATTTCATTTTTTTCTCACATTTTACATAATAAAAACAACTATACTATTAAGTCATCAATTTTTTAAATTTATTTAAATTTACTTATAAGTTATAACAATATAAAAAAAATGCAAATATATAACATAATTAAGATGTTTAAACAACGCTTTTTTGCATATTCACTTTTTTTTTTTACATTTCATATCGAGGACTAGGAGTGGCTTTCTTTTAAAGAAATGAACCCTAATTTTTGCATATGTACCTAGAAAATATCATATTTGGACTACATTTGTACTCCAGAGTAGTTGAATTTAGATATTTCTAAAAATGTATTTAAGATTACCAGCGATTTTCAAAAATGCATGAAACAGGAATACCAGTTTACTCTTTGAATATCCTAGTCCGAATGTGTAATTAAAACAATAAAAAAAATGGAAAAATTGTTATACCACATTTTTGGTTGTAAATGACCATGTCATCTCAACAAGTTTGACATTTGAAACTCCGAAATTATTTTATTTAAAGTTGGTACTGGAAACTAGATTTGTAAAAAAAGAAGATTTGAAAGGGATAGCGACTGTCCCCTTAGGTCTTTTTCGCTAAAAGAAATCCCTTGGCCGACATGAGAAATGTAATTTCTATTTCGGCATGGGGCCAGGACTCGGGCGTATATAAATAATATATTTCTTTTTATTAATCCAATTTAATGGTTATCTAGCTATAAAATATGTTTTATGATTTTACCGAATAATATAACATGTATTTATTTAGCGATTTCAATTTTAAGAAGTGTGTATTTTTGTTGTTATTTTATTTAAATATTAAATACTCGTTAAAATGTTTAAATTATAATTTGAACATACCTTATAATTTATATAAATTATATTTGTTACACGACAAATAATAGTAAATAACGACCTAGGACAAAGCACTATAATATTTATGTCGTATCAATAATAATAATAATAATACCACCACTTGTAGAGCTGGAAGCTTGAAATACTGGACCTGATGAAGTATTGCACGTTGCTTATACTCTAGCCGACAAAGAAATATGAAAAATGCAAGGTGTACCTTGGAATAGGACATTCAACTATATACTACGCGGAAATATAATTTCCATTATGTGAGGTCGTCTATCTATATACTCGTATATTATAGTAAACTAGATAAAATACTGTGAACCCACCCGTCCAAGAGTACCTTCTCTTTTCTTTATAAGACAATACGGTACGTCGATAAGTCATCCCCGTTGCTGTTGCACCTTTAACACACGAGTTTGATTTTGCTACAAAGTATTCTTCCTAGTAAAATCTTTTTAAAATATACGTGAAACACCTGCCCGATGGCCGAATATACGCAAACACAATTTCTTTTGAGATCAAAAAAAGGATTTACGTTCGATTTTAGTTTATATGAAGGAAAAAAAATTGAAGTCACCCGTCCGTCTTTACCAATTAGATAATGCGTAACCGGTTGCGGTTATATGGCTTTTTGCTTCCATAGTAGTCGGACACATTTTTTTCTACCCAAGGTAACACGTCTGTAGCGGATAATTTACAATATTATAGGGTCTAATTTTATGGGGCAAAAAAGGTCTATCGAAAAGGACAGTATCCCAGGTGTTTTTTTTTTTGAATTGTATTGTACTCTTGTAGTATAGTTAGTTCAGTGAAAAAGACGCAACCCGTATTATATACAATTTATTTTGGACACCCTATGGCGTAATATATTATTATAGGTCAGATTTTTGGTCCGATCGGTATTATATCAATAAGGCCGCCGACCGAAATACCAACTGGGGTGCAGTTCTGATGTACATTAAAGGATTTTGATTTTACCCAGAACTAATCGTTACACTGTTATTTCTGTAACGCCAGAAGTCAGAAAAACACGAAATTCCAATCATATGTTTTTAGAATATTATGTAAGACCAAAGACCAGTAAGGATAACTCGAGAGGGCTGGGACGATAAGACAATCGCCAACCCCCCCCCCTCCCACTTGGATAGAAATAAAATTCCATTGCATTACAAAAAGTATAGTACTAAGCAAAATTATAATAACTTATACTAAACTCGTATGAATGTACTTAATTAAATTGCTCGCCCGCTGGAAGACTGGAGAAGACCAGATGCTTTTACAACACTTAAGCTCCTACAGAATTTAATTAAAAAAGTTACCTGAGGGCTTTACCCAATTGGAAACTATTTTACCTAACCTTCCCTAGCCCCCCCCCCTCCTTCTGATATTGTTAATGTAATTTCCCTCCTTCACTTATTCACCGCTGCTAACATCAACACAATTTTTTAACTGATCAGAAATTTTTTTTTAAAAATTACAATCAATTCAAATTTTTTAATACAAAATTTAAAAAGCACACACATTATGGCTCAAGGCAATGGGTTTTGACAAATATTTTAAATATGTTTATAAATCGGAAAGTTCAGAGCAAATTTTAAATAGTGTCAAATCGGCAAACTTTCAAACTTTAATCAGATTTGACGAGGATAATTTTTTTGTTTAAGCCAAAAACATGTTTGGTATATTATTTTTTTGAGTGGCTTATGTATACCAAAAAAACTTCGGTCAGGATTTTTACATGAAAAGAGGTAAGTACTTATTTTTTGCAATACATCTCTAATGAAATAGAACTCTTAATTGAGTTTCAAATTAAAGATGGTAACATTATTTTTGTCACCATTTTAAATTTATTAAAAAAGACTGAATTATTAATTTACTTTTAATTACATTGAATGCAAGAATGGTTTTCAGTAAAATAACAAAGCAATGATGTTTACCTTATATAGCATACAGCTTCTTTATTGCACAATCGTTTCCATCCATTTGGTACAGAGACTGATGATATGTAAGCAGCCGGTGATGAAACAACGTTACTCGTCACAGTGACTACAGCAGTAGAACTTGCACTTTTATTAGCTTTGTCGTATTCTGACAAATAACTGTAACCATTTGACTCTTGGTTCATGCTAGCGGCAGCCGCCGATTGAGCGACGACGCCATGGTTATTAGGTAAATTATTAAACGCACACCGATTTGGGGCGCTCGGAGTGGTATACAGAAGCCCAGCAGAACGCAGTGGCTGGTCGTTTGATTCGGTCGTCATGCCTTATCAGATGACCGATGCAAAGTGCGTAAGGGCAGATCGAGGCATTTTGTATATTATTCATGGAGGCTTTTCCTTGTCCGAATATGTTTCTACAGCTACCATCACTGCTCATTGGTACTGAAAGTTCTTGGCCGACGCATGACGGACTTTCCAAACATACACCTTTAAGTTTCTAAAAAAGAAACGAAACATATTTAGATAGTTAAAATATTAAAATTTCCTTAACAATTTTATTTTTTAATTGAAATTTATCTATTATGTTATTTAAGTTAGCACAATTCATTTTTAGCTTAAAAATAATAAGACAGTAACAAAAAAATAAATCAACTATCAGTTTAAGAACAATGAATTAATAACATACAAGGAATATGCAGATGACCGATACAAAGCAGTTTGAACTATGAGTAACATAATTTTAAGACTTCATTTAAATGTTGGTACTTAGATGAATTTAGTTTCATTATAAATTGAGATTAGGTATAATATAGATTGACACTTACAAAGAATGGCTTTAGTGTGTCAACTAATGTTATGATCTGAAATTATGTTGTAGTAGAACGCTATAAAGCAGACAAAATTAAGAAACATTCTACACTATCAACATACATTATATTTTTTAAAAATATCAAATATATACTAGTGTGACACAAGAGTATTCACATTTTCCATAATAAGTATTATTCGATCAAATGTAAACTCCTCGTTGCCAGTTTTTTACCAAAACCTTAAACTATGGTTTTAAAAATGTGTAAGTCTAATGTCTGTTTGACAACTGGATGAAATTATTTAAAAAAGCTTTTTTCTTATCAGGCATAGTATCTAATTTTGGTAAATTTTCATTATTTATCTGTATAAATTAAACTGAAGCATAACAAATTAATATATCTGAAAGCTTAAGAAGGAAAATTAGATTTGATACTAGACATTTGATACTATAGATAAAAATGATAAAGATAATATTTATCAATACTACCGTTTAACTACATGAAAAGTTATAGTTTTTTCAAATTTTTTTTTTCAACTTTTTTTACAACAAGATATGGTAACCGTAGTTAAGTTTTCTAATATATTATTAAATATTAAAAATAAATAGAATTACATATTGTTTTTAACACTTGGGATTTAGAAATATAGGTACACCTACATTTTAGGTATGATCATTCTTAAAAAGGATATAATAATCAAAACAATAGTTTATAGTACTACCTACTTAATTATAGTTTTAATTACCATTTATCAATTCTACTGAAAACAGGTTTAAGAAGGGGTTTAGGTTAATACAGACTTTTGCTAAAACAACTATTCATATTGTTGTTAGTGACAGAAAACAATTTAGCATTATAGACACATAGATGAGGTTTAAGATAATGTTTGTGCTTTTAAAGACATTATAGCATAATATACATATTATAGGTAGGTTATATGTATATGTTAAGGATTTATCATCAACAAAAATAAGATTATAATTAGATACATATTAATGTAGAATTAAAATTGTAAATAGGAACAAGGGGATTATTATAGTTCGAGTCTTACCTAATTAAGCACATCTAAATATTGATGTGATTACTGGTTAAACAAATTACATTTAATATTTACTGGCGAGTAGGTATGTTTTTTTTTTTAATCGTTTAAAGCTGATATTAATTTATGAACATAATAGATGTTTATGGGACATAATCCTCGTATCGTGTAGTATTTCAATTGTTTTGTTTTATTTTATAGTCCTACCTGCATGACTTATGACACTCATCAAAATAACTGATAAAAGTTGACGAAATCCAGTGAGAGGAACGATTCGCACCGATTATTCCAACGACTTTGAAACGCGGGACACTACCAAAACAAACGAAAAATAACACTCGAAAAACACTTTCACAACAATAAATATTAATTAATAATTAAATTATAAAAACAAAACACGTACACGGCACACATTTGAAGAAAAAAAACACAGCGACAAAATAGATACACACAACTTTCGCGCTACGACAATGCTATCAACCGACGTAACAACGGTAAACGCGAAATTCGATTGTATCCAAAGACCGTCGGGCGCATAATAATGATATTACATATAATACCGAATGCACTTTTTAATTAACGGTCCCGCACAACATACACCAACGTATACACACGCAGAACACAAACTAATAATAAATAAATAACTTATTATTATTATTATTATTATTATTAATTATTAACTGAAAATCGCCGACAGTGACGCCAGACAAACGCGCTTACGACAGGGGGGCAAGACTGACGTTAGTGTTGTGCGGTGTGCGGCCCGTACGCCGTACGGCCGTGCGCATAGGCGACCTTCAATGAATTCAAAGCCAAAGCGCCCCCCGTGACCGACACTTGTACTACACACTATTAGGCCGCGTTTCCACAGAGATAACACGATGGTACCTATCATCAGAAAATTAAAATAAATAAATATATATATAATATAATGTACTTCATCAAACAATAAAACTATTACACATCGGTAGTGTCACACTACAGATGATTATATAAGGTTAAATCTTATGACGGCAGCAGCAGCAATTATAGTAAATACATTGGCGCAGGCAGACTTTCGAGTAGGTAGTGTAATTCTCCAAAGAAAAGGGTCCAAAAGTTCTATACAAAATATCCATTCGCGGTTATTGGCCCGACAATATTTAAAGTTAACTTCCCTTCCCGCCATCAACCTAGGTGCAATCTAAAACAAAAAAAAACTTAATACCAAATAAAAAAAGCCAGGACAATGGGTTGGGGGCATAGCGGGAACGGAGTAAAACTATATACATTAGTAGGTGTAATCACAGTACTGTAGAAATTATTATAGCCGAGACTAATGAAATGACTAAAAAAAACTCTTCGATGTAAATCTTTTGATAGGTAGTACAAGTATAAATAACGATATAACACAAAAAGATTAAACGATCAAAAATATAAAATTTACAAAAGTTATACAAAACGTACATAAATGCTCGTTTAGTATAATAATTATATTAAATTCGCAGCAGTGAAATTAATGCGTTTCCATGCCTTATTTGGTTAACTAATAAAAAAAAATCGATTCGGTTACAATTAGTTTAATATCATTCTACTAAAAAGGTATTTTGTAAAATCACAATATACTTGGCGGGTTGCGAGGCATTTTTATTGCAAAAAAAAAAAGTTACAATTTACAATATATTTAAAAAACAATAATTTTACATATATTTTTCTTGATTGTTTAAAAATATAAAACTTTTTTTAGTTTTAATTTTATAAAACGTTATCGTATTGTTGGTAAAGTCCCTTAATAAATGTTTTCAAAATATATTAGAGTTTCATTCATATCCTATAATACATAAATTCAAATATTCTGTTTCTGACCGTGTAATACCTACTAATAATCGTTGTGCGCTACATTTCACAACGACCCTAAAATTTAGATTTATTAAAATTGCAACCAGTTAATTGTGTATAGGTACTGTGGTGTTACAATAATTAGCAAATGTTTATATTGTATAGTATTGTACATAAATTACACAAAAATATTAAATATATATATTATTTGCCATTAAAATTAATTTCAAATGGTGCATTAAATAAATATTAATAATTCTATAATAACTTCATATATTTGCGTTTTCATCAGCAATAAAGCATAGAGAAAAATATTTGAATAGCCTCAAATCACACAAAAAAAAAACCTAGGGAAATTTTCGTTTTTCTTCTTATCGTCGTAATCGGGGAAAAACCAGGTACTGCGAGTTAAGGTGCTAAAACATTTTAATGGAAGATGAAACTCAAGGTTCAAAAAATAAACTGCCTAACAAAACTATAATAAATTGGATAATTTTAGATAATAAAGTCAGTGGAAAATTTAAATATACCTAATAACTAATAAGTAATAACCTATTAACATCAATAATTGTATATATACATAGGTCCATCTATGTTTAACTCTTTGCCATTACACATACAAAAAAAGTTTTTTAATAATGTAATTTGTTTAAAAATAAATATTTATGCAATTAGAAAATTGTCCTTAACTATTCATTAGATATAAGATAATCTATCTTCATAAAGTTAATACTTAATAGTAAGAACTTAAAAATAGTATTTTATATTTTGTATAAGTTTACATGTACAAAAACAGAACAAATTGTCAAAGTTTTTAATTTAAAAAATAGAATTTGTTGATAGTAATTAATTAACCCCGTCACAGGCTACGCTTATTGGGGTAATATTAATAAAAATTTGTACACATTTTATTGTATAGGTATACATGTTATTCTCTCAATAAAAAAACATTTTTTAAATAATAAAATAAGGTAATTAGAAATATTTAACAACATTTTGTTTTGTCTTATAGACGATATTTTATTGGTTCTTGGACCCAAATTTTATAAAAAAATTTGTTTTTTTTAATTTATTCAGATAAATTAGCAAACGTTTTGCAATTTAATGATTATAATGTAATGCGAATTTTGTTTTTTTTACTATTCAACTGAGAATTAATAAGAACCATAGATTTAATTACATATTTTTTTTTGTAAACTAATCGATAAACTTAAAAATATGTTAGTTTCACAACAACCGTGGAACTTTTAAGTTTGAGCGTTTTAATACTGAAAATGTATAATAATAAAAGAAATTTTTGTGTTAAGCAGTTTTCCGGCATTTATACCGTAACATGATTATTAAAAAAAAAAATGATTATAATATATTTTAATAATAGTATGCACTTTCTTGATTCTCATAGTTCGGATATGCAACACAATCCTGAGTTAGTTGAAAAACACTCTTCCGTAATTTTGTAACGCATCTATGGTCAAAGAATCGCACGTCCATGGCACACGTCTTATTCACAGAACGTTGATCGACACTTCTCGCATGTGATCAAAGTCGCAAATTGCTTGTTTTGTGGCACCATCAACTAAGAGCACGTGTACTTGCTTGGTTTATTTTAAATAATACATGTATATACATATTTCAAGCATAAGACCCTAGTACTTTTTCTTAACAAAATTACATTCTAAACAAATTTAGTTCATTCTAAACATTCTAAGCAAATTTAGTTTTTAATAGGTTAAGCTGTTCTGGCGGTATGCGCCTTATATAAATTATCATCCGCTACAGCTGCTGAGCAATGCATAACAAACTTAACAAAGGACCCTAGTACTTGGGAAATGCGACAGTGGCGGCCGTCAATTTGAAATGTATAGTACCTACTTCATACAAATAAAAGGTTATTCGGACCCGTAATGCTAAAACATATCCATGATTCAATGTTTTTCCGTGGAGCGGAGAAAATAACTATTTTTATATAAAAATAGTGGTAATAGGGTTTTTTTAAACACATTTTTGCCTCGACCCCTTCCCCCCGGCCCTCGGAGAGCGTTGGTTGTATGTATGAGACTTATGAATATACCTACACCTAGCGATTCTTTTAACGCCCTACACTAGTTTACTGTTAACATAATTGAAATTTTTTTATGTTTCTTTTTAAAAACATTTTCATTTATGTTAAAGCACAATACAGAGTGATCATTTTATCATGAACCACTCAACATCTCATAAGGTTTAACAAAAAGTTTAATATTGTTTTTGTACAACGTGATCTCAATTTTTCAGAATTTTTTTGTTTTTACCCCCCCTCCAACCCTCTCACCACAGTTTTTTCGATAGCAACTATAAAAACTTGAAAGGTACGCGTACATTTCATAATATCAATATATATTAACGTATTAACAATAAATAAATAACTAAAATTTAAATTAATAATTCAATATGTTATAATTATTGGTTATAACTTATAGCCTATATATTTTATATTATTGTTAAATGTGCTTGTATCAGTGTTATCCGTTTACATGATATTTTAATTCTAGAAGTTATTCACAATCCTAATTTCAAATGCGTATTAACTAATTCAAAATAGTTAAACTAGTAACAAGGTATGTGTTTACGTAGTTTAAATACCTAACTAAATTCAGCTCAGTGGATTTAACTACGCATATAAAAATAGAACAAACCATTTAGCACTTTCAACATAATTAATTAATTATCACGTTTACACCCAAATGATTTTATAATAACTTGATGAGAATTAATTAAATGCATGCAAACGTAATAGGTACATGCAATTTTCCATTAAAGGTACTTAGCACGCTTATATTATTTGTTTAATGTGCACTAGCCAATAACAATGCAAATTAAATTGATTCGGGAATTAGGTGCATATAAATTAATTTTTTTGTAAAAAAAACATTTGCAAAAAACAGGCGCATTTATTTCAACATTTTTAACCGTAATAATTAATAACTATACTCAAAAACATAATAGAAAGAACTCGTAAAATACGACGTTTACTAAGGAAGCACACAGAATTTTGGTGTAATCAAAAATAGAACGACTCTCCAAAGTATTTTCACGAGAAAAAATAACGAAACGGTAAAAAGTTAATTATTGAATGCGCAGGAGCGCATGCTGTAAAATAGTGTTAAGTATTCTATTCCGCAGTTAATTTTGCGATTACGTTAAAACAAAATAAAATAAACATAATAACTGCACTTTTTTGGAAGTTGAGGTATGTAAAGAAACAAGTATCTAAAATAGTAGTGTACAACTACTAGAATTATCTGCCGTTTAAGGAATACATTAAACGGCAGATAAAAGTTTTGAAAAATCTTCCAAAATAACTAAAACATTACGTTATGAGGCAAAGCAATCAATCGAAGTAGAAATAATTGCTACCTATAGCATTATAGTATTATTTGTTGAGGGCTGTTTTTTCAACCAATTGATGAATGTAGAAGTTAGAACCGACTCGTTCAACATTTTAGGTAGGTACCTAAAATAAATAAAAATAAATAGGTAAAAATGCAGTCTCTTACTAAATGATTGCTTATCATTTTTTGACTTTATTTTCAAAAGTGAGATCATTTGAAATTGCTCTTGTGCACATTTCAGTATAGTCGACTGGATGATTCCTCGACAAAACTGACCTGAACGTGATGCTTAAAGAGACTGAAATTTACCATAAAACCTAGATTTTTTGAAAAAATATCAAACATGAGTGGCGTTTTTTAATTTCGCTTTTGGTAAATCAATTTGTTTGAAATACGAGCATTAATCCTAATAAAATATTATTAGAAAAATATACCTGCAACAATTTTGGCTGCTCTATATTATATAATTTATATAAAGTTTATGGTTATAAAGGCTATTAGATATTTTTTAAATACAGATTTTTTCTATACTATGTAAATTTTGTCATAATTATCGAGAGTTATAGCAATAATTAATAAATCGTACGTATTTTAGCATTGATGTGATAAATAACCAATACGATTAGTATTGATACCTACTCTACATGAGGATGCAAGTTATATTTCTGTTTAACAGACAAAAATTGTATTTAACTGCACTTCCAAATAGAATCAATAGTAGGTAATTATTTACAAAATTATATATTTGAATAGTATTTATTAACATTGTTTAATATTTATTATATACCTACAATTTAAGCAAACTTCTATAATAGTTAATAAATATTAATGTGCTACTATTATTTCTTGAATTCATTTGTTATACAATTTTTATCAATGGACTTGGTAGAAACGTAGTAACAAAAAAAGAAATCATGAAAAAACAAATTAAAATAATTATTAATAAAATAATTAAAGCTTCAATCTTTATTATGTTAATTTAAATAACTAGTTTTTTAAATATAATACATAAGCGTAAATATCACTTTTAATTATGTATATATTTTTTTATTAATTCTTGAAGTTATTAAAGATAAAAATTAATATCTAAATGTAACTTAAATACGATTTTTAAAACAAATGTTTTTTTTAAATTAAACTGAACATTTTAATAAAATTAACATGTTTTATACAATTTTGTTTTGTCTTTAGCTTCGATGTAATTTATCTGTAATACACTTAAATACATTAAGCTGGATTGGGTAAATTTAACACAACTTTTATAGGCACCAAAATACTCTGTGGTTGCTTTTGGTTGATTACATGCGACATTGTATCCAAATACATAAAGTTCATTACAAATCCCACTTGCACGTTAATACCTTTTACAGTATTTTCACGGGGTATTACTTCAAATTTGAGCGCAACCTTATTGCCCTTTCTCCAACATACAAATTTAGGGTCGTCATTATCGGTATTCACTTCATTTGTATCATCGTATTCAGCTGTATCATCTCTGGCTGCAATTTTGATTTCGCCTTCAGGAATCAGAATACTGCTTAATGAATTTAAAGTCATCGTTACTGGTTCAGGCAATTGTTTTGGAGGAATGAGATCTTCTCCTTCAAGCCGTCTTGGCTCCCTTATTACATTAATAGTATTTACGTCTAGCTTTTCAAAACTGACTATAGTCGATGTCTGTGCTGGATTACACAACTTCAGTACAAACTGACTCGATTTTCCAGGTTGTAATGGATCACATTTGATCACTTTGATTTCGGGCACATGATAGTATGCTAAATGCTTTATTTTAAATTTGACAGCATTATATTCAGGTTTGACAACATTGTGTTCACACACACGGCAGCGGAGTGAGTGTTTCACGCGAAGATGCTTACGTATTGGAAAAAGATTATCGACATTTTCGTCTTGAAGTTCTGGAGTAGCAAATCGCTGTTCTAAAGTAGTGGTATTCTTAAAATCGACTGGGGCCTCAAAAATATTTTCAGGTAATCCGGGAACGTCTTCTACAGCCTCAATCAAGTTGAGCTGAGGAGTACTATATGCAGCACCATCCATTGGGAAATTCGGCAGACCGGCACGTTTCCGTGCCATCATAGCGTTTAACCCAAATTTTTCCAAAAAGTGCATATAATTACGACCATAGCTTTTTGTACTCCTTCTTTGTTTGTCAAACACTTCTTTCAAAGACAATGATTTATAATAATTTATAAGATCTAAAATTCGAGCATCGTTAGTATTTTTGTAAACAGGCCAATTTCCTGATGACGTTGGTTGATCAGGAACAATAGGTTCGTGTGATCGCCAATTGCAAAATAAACATAGTAAATAATACATTTTCTGGGGAGGCTTTTTAGGATCCTGTGTCCGGGAATATGACCTCGTTGAAAGCGTATTAAAACACCTTGGACACTCCAGACATGAAGCACAACGGTTTTTCTTATGTTTGGCTTCAGTGGATGAAAGATTTTCGAAGCAATGTGGGCAAAATGTCGTATCTATTTCATGACTTACACAATAGTTGCAGCGTAGTGTCAAACAATGACGACAAAAGAACAGATCTGGCAAAAGTTTCAGTAGGCCGCACGTGCAAAATGACATAACAGTCTTTTGTAACATATATGTTGCCATATCTTCTGCTTTTTGGTAATTCTGAAAATATTTTTTTAAACATTAACATTTTAGTATCCTTTTATTCATAGTATAAAAATATAATAAATTGTTCTTTATTACTTAAGGTTTATATTATAGCTTCACTACTCAAATGAAATAAGTGATATGTTTCATTTAACATTAGAAGAATATTTATTTTAATTCACAACACAACTATACTATTATGATATTTGATTATATCTTAGTGCAAATTAATTTTACATTGGTAGTTTAATGTAATATTATATCTACAAATAAACTGTAAGTTTGGAAACTCAGTACTGATTTACTCGAGTGTAATATCAATTATCTTACAGTGTTTATAAGATATCTTGGAGGTATTAATAGTTGAAAAAAATCACTCCTGAAAATTGGGAAATACAAAAAACCATATTTAACTACTTTGTAAGTTTCAACATTATATATTTTACTACTCAGAAATTCGCATCAAAGAATTTATCTGTGATTACACGAATATTCTAGCCATATAACAGTTTTATCTATACTTGTTTTAGAAAATACAATTTGTATTAATCTAAACTAAAAATAGTTCTAAAAATATTGTTAAAACTCAAAACTGATGAAAACATCTATAAAATGGAGGGTAAAGTGGAATCGTCTGCTCTTCTCACACTACTTTGCTTTAAAGTGCCTCAACGTCCATCGCGAACTAATGCTCTTTTTTACATCCCGCGTGCCACCACAAATTATTTGGCAAATGAGCCATTACGACGGCTAATGTCAAATGCCAATGTAGAACCTAATTTTAATTTTAATTTTTAAGCCTAATTTTTGATGTAATTATGTTTAGTTTTGTTTAGTTTATAAGTTGCTGTTCAGTTGTGTATTTAATGTTTTCTTAATTGTACAAATATGCATGTATATATATAAAGGGCCCAGCCCGTATATAATTAATAAATAAATAAAATTATAAAACTTTTTTATTGATTTCCTTGTTCAGTATTCATTTTAAAACATACGTATTTCAAAAACTTTTGAAGTTTTTTTTTTTTTGTGGGCTCAATTCTTGTTAGGGAGGGAGGCAGATATCATCCTTGTTTAGTTATCCAATCTAAACAAGTCTTATGACCATCTACCAGGTAAATTTATGAATGATTTATGTAATATTATTTATACTAATAAGTTTTAAAAAAAAATTCAGAAAAGACATTTGATAAGTATGTAGAAAGTTATCAGACTTATATACTTATATTATAGATTTATAGTTTCATTATAATGATTTTATAAATAAAAACGTAATTAATTATTAAAGCGATTATGTATGTATGTTAAACAAAATATGTGAATTTTAATCAGCATAAAAAATAGGGTAGGTAGGTACTTACATTTTATAGATTAACAAATTTAACAGTGTTCAGTAATATGTTATTTACTTTTGTAATTACATATGTTAATATTAACAAGTACAAATCATTATCTGTTCTCAGTATTTCTCACAAAAAAAAAATACTGTTAATAAATATAAAACACGTTAACATTATGGTGTAAATTGAAATAAATTACATGTTTTTATTTTTGGTAATTTGAATGTTATAATAATTCGGAATTCACGCTATCCTATCTGTAATCTGTATTCTGCAATGCAATTCGTGTTATCTCATATTTTGTTTTTATCATCGGCGATACCAACATGTTGGCCAACCTACATAATAACAACATCCAAAACACGACGACATGTCTTTGTTTTTTTAAATAATTGTTAATCAGCAGCTGCCCAATGCAACCATTAACCAACGTGAGCAATGTTTTGAAAAGGTGTGTCAAGTACACGGTAATGACGATTATGTGGAAATTGTTATTATTGTTGTAGATTATTTTAGCGAAATTATGGCAACTCACAATTTGACGGTACATCAAAAATAAATTTTATATGAAAATAGACTACGGGAAAAACTCATGCTTTCATTATTATTTTTTAATTCTGTTTATTTTCTATAGAAAATGTTTGTATGGCACTGCGATATCGCATTTAATTTGTTTTACATCTGTTCAACTAATAAAAAGGAACTTAAAAATTAATTAAATGTAGTAATTCTGGGATCTTAGCAAAACCCAATTACTAAAAAATTCAAAATAAAAATAGTGAGATTTTCCAGCAGAACATTTTTTTAGAAAATTGCACGGCGCACCCTTGGCCCCGTTGAAAATGTATTTTTTCAAAATTATATAAATTTTTTCATTTTTGACGTTTTTCTAGATTTTGATGGGGGAATGATGAGCTTTATGAATTTTGGGCCCAATAAAGTACTTTTTAAGTACAACATGTGGATTTTGGTCCATAGACTTCCTGCGTTAAGACATCGGTCTAGCGGTTTGGTAGATAATGTAGGTCCAGACACAAAAACAAAAAAAAATATTACAAATACATTGTTTTCAAAAACGTTTAGCCTCCTCGTCTCCGTGTTAAGCTTAAAGCCACAGATATACATATAACTTTCTTTTTTTTTTATGTATACCTGTGCTAATACTAACGACACACAAACCATACGACTACTACCATTGATTTAAGAATATACTAATATTATAATAAAGTAAAAAATTATTCTAAAATCAATGCTTCAACAAAAAAAAACTTAGTACGATTTAGTTGTACATAATAAAATAACAACCGCGTGGGACGTTCTCTTGAATCTACGTTCGGTAGTTTTGAGTTGTAAATGTGGTAATAATCAGGGGTGCGTTCGGACGGATGGGCCAAAGAGTATTGTATAAACGGCGAGTCGTGTACGTGTTATGCGATAGCGTGGCGCAAACGCAGCCCCACGAACGTTCTAGAAACTACTGCAGTCTGCACACTCATTCTGTGTGCTAGGCAACGTCGTGTTCGTCTTTTTCAATACGGATTTCCATTCCGTAGTTCGTTCTTTGTGATTTTGTGAAAAGCGCGTGTGCCACCGCGTTCCAAGCAAAAACTGAAGACGAAAAAAATCTCCAGATTACCACCCCCATTATTACCGTACGGTTTGATTGTCGTCCGTCGAAACAGACTGAGTAAGTTTTTAAAATAATAATTAAAAATAATAACGTGATTGTTGGGTGGAAAAAGTCGCCGACAAGGGTGTCTCGTTGGACGAGTATCAGTTCTGCGATAATAGTATTAGATTTAAATAATAGCAATATGTGCCGTGCCTTAACAGCTGAGTTGACCCTCAAAACGCACATGATCCGTTTCCGTCAATTTTTGCCGATACCGAAAATCGCCATTTTTTTTTTTATTTACCAATTTCCGAATCGTTATATTATTTTATCTGACGCTCGTTTTGTACAACTGTACAAGTACAACAAAATGTACAGATACCTACCTACAATACTGATATGTTATTACAATCGTCCCGAGACAAAGAAAAACGGTTACATGTTAATGCGTATGATAATGATTTTTTTTTCTGCGGTCTTATTGTTATTATACCGTTGACTGGTGTATAATATTAAGTAGGTATTATGTCGTTCAAATGAAAATATAATAAATAATCGAGGAGGATTAATTGTTTATTTTTTTTTTATTTAAGAAATAGTCTACGTACTTGTAAAATTAGCATAAAAAAAAAGAATATAAGTATGGCAATAAGAATTGACCTCATGGTGAAAATTAAAAAAATAATGATGGGTGGGGAGTGTCAGTTATGGAGAAGGTAAAATTTTGTGAAACGAATATTAATTAGACACTAATAATTTTATTTGTAATGGTGTTAAACAATTTGTATGTAAGCCTAAAAACTACCATATAATTATTATTGATATTCAGAATTGTTTCATTTTTAGGATAAAGATGAGAACTATGTATGTAAACTTTTACATAAGTTGATTGAATTAGTATATAAAAAAAATTTGTGGTCATTTTCAATTGAGATATTTAAAATAAAGAAATTTCAACTAATTCACTGAAAAGATTAAAAAGGCGATTTTATAAAATAGAATATTTATTATATTTTATATTAGTAGAAAAGCTAAATTAACTGCCGTGACTATATGGCGCACAGTATACTCACTTGTGCTATAGTAATTAAAAAAAGTTGATATTTGAACTAAAAACAGTTGTGCATTTCTTAAAACAAATGTTATTACCCAAAACCATATTTTCGGGTAACTGAATTAAGTCTTATGACTTGTATACTCAAAATATACAAAGAAAAATTGTTAATTATTATTTTACGAATATTGTATGAGTGCTTTTAATATATTATTATATCAATGTATAATTTTATCTATTTTTAAGACTGAATTATTTATTATGTTATTGATTTTTTTCAGCTTGACTAGTTTACCTAACTGTTGAAAATGGTTAAAGAAACTACCTATTATGACATTTTAGGTGTTAAACCCAATTGTTCTGCTGACGAACTTAAAAAGGCATACAGGAAACTTGCCTTGAAATACCATCCTGACAAAAACCCAAATGAGGGTGAAAAGGTAAACTATTGTTTTTCATCAATATAATAGACAGTGAAACATAACAATATAATTCTTAATTTTTTCTCCCGTTTTTTATAATACTGCCACTAATAAATTGCTGATTGACAATCTTCTGTTTCTCTTATATATTATATGTAATAAAGACAACAATACATTTTTAAATATAAATAAATGGTTAATATAAATAATACAAATGGTTATAATTAACAATATATTGAAAATTACCTACAATTTGAAAAGACTGGCAAGTTAAAACTTGCTAGCTTTGTAAGAAGCATTGTAATGAAGTTTTGACGTACAATGTCATGTTGGAAATGTGTTAATAAAATATAAAGTTGTTTAAATGTAGTATAAGTATTTAATTTTTAAAATTTTTATGTTCCAATAGTTTATCTTGTATAACATTTTGAAAAATTAAATTTTGAGTCCTAATGCCTTCAGAAAAATGTATAATACATTTGACATACCTTTAAAAAAAAACTAAATTTGTTCATGTTATTTAATAATGAGAGTTTAATTAAAATTTAATCAATAATAGTTACTTATTTATAAAGCATTTTGTTTGATTATAGTTTAAGCAAATATCACAAGCGTATGAAGTGTTGTCAACACCAGAAAAACGCCGTCTGTATGACCAAGGTGGTGAACAAGCACTCAAAGAAGGAGGAGTTGGCAACTCCTTCTCTTCGCCAATGGATCTTTTTGACATGTTCTTCGGCCAATTTGGCGGTGCTTCCGGTGGAGGTCGTGGCCGTCACCGCGGTCCCCAAAAAGGCAAAGACGTTGTTCATCAACTTAGTGTTTCCCTTGAAGACTTATACAACGGTTGCGTGCGAAAGTTAGCGTTAGAAAAGAACGTCATTTGTGAAAAATGTGAAGGCCGAGGCGGCAAGAAAGGAGCTGTAGAACAATGTCCAACCTGTCAAGGTAGCGGCATTCAAGTTCAGATCCACCAATTAGGACCGGGAATGATTCAACAAGTGCAATCTATGTGTAGTGAATGTCGTGGACAGGGTGAACGCATCAACCCCAAGGACAGGTGTAGGACTTGCAACGGTAAAAAGGTAAGTCACAAAATTCAGAACCAAATTTTTGTTACCACCATTGCTGTATGCATGCAACTTTATTTTATAGGTTATCCGTGAAAGAAAAATTTTGGAAGTAAACGTAGACAAGGGCATGGTAGATGGTCAAAAAATTACTTTTAGCGGTGAAGGTGATCAAGAGCCAGGACTTGAACCTGGTGACATCATAATTGTATTAGATGAAAGAGAACATCGTACATATAAGTAAGGAAAAATACAAACTTTTTTCAGATTGTTATTAATTATGTTATGGGTAGATTAATTATATTCTGAAGATGTAGACTTTCTTGTCTTTAAATAAAACTGCATATAAATTGTGTCAACATTTTCGTAGACATAGTATTGTGTCACTTTTTTTATTCATTTAAATTACTAAATTTACTTAAACATTGTCATGTGTTTTTACGTTTGTTTAACAATATATAATACATTTTTTTTTTTAGGAGAAGCGGTAGCGATCTAATTCTTCGTATGGAAATAGAATTAGTTGAAGCTTTATGCGGATTCCAGAAAGTCATAAAAACTTTAGATGAACGTTCTTTGGTCACTACTGCTATTCCAGGTAAATTTAAAAAGCCCTAGTCGTATATTAATTGTTTTGTTAATTTTTTTGTAATTTACAGGAGAAGTTTTTAAACATGGTGACGTCAAGTGTGTATTGAACGAAGGTATGCCTCAGTACAAGAATCCGTTCGAAAAAGGTCGTATGATTATTCAATTCCTCGTCAACTTCCCTGATAAATTACCAGTTCAAAAAATCGTTCAGCTCGAATCGTGTCTTCCCGCTAGGTGATTATTTTTACAAATTTTACTCATAAAAACCGTTGAATTAATTATATATTATTAATTTATTATAAATAAATCAATTAAAATATTTAATTTCATTACTCATGTAATATTTAAATTTGGATTTATAGACCGGTGGAGGTCATTCCGGACAACTCTGAGGAAGTGTCGCTTACCGAAATGGACCCTGAGTATGAATCGAGGAGACGTGATAGACGTGAAGCATACGCTGATGAAGATGGTCCTACGAGAAACGTACAATGCGCATCTCACTAATATAATTTTTTCTACTTTTTACAAGTCCACGTATATAAACAGTATCTCCAATTCACATGTTTTCATTCCGTTCCGAGCAAAATACATTGATGTAACGTGTAATAAATATTAGATATTTATTCAGAACATAATCAGATGCAAAAAAATATTTTTCTTTTTTCCTACCAAAATTCTAAGGATTTGTTCCTACTAATAACTCTGTTTGCCAAATAATAATATATTAGTGCACATTTTTTTTATAGTGTTATTGTTTTTTGTTTTATAAAAAATGATTTCAGTTTTAATCGAAAATGTACACATTATTTATTATTACTCAACCCTCTTAGGATACAATAAAGGCTTATTGACGAATAAACTTAACTGGTAATTCATTCCTGAATATCAATTTTAACCAGAATATAGATATTTTTTTTACTTTAAATTTAGAGCGATGATGTAAGATGTATTATATTATTTCTCAGTTTATCGATTTTTATACATTTAAATTGTTTTATTTTATACATTTTCCATAAATAATTAAATTATATTTGAGTTACTATACTTGTCTAGTGAATTCTGAAATGAATTAAAATAATTGATATAACTATAATTTTACAAATAAATTTAAATAAAATCTTAAATAATAAATACATTTTTATTTGGACCAACTTAAATAACAAATTATTCAAATTCATTTTTACTTTTAGCTCAATATAAAAATGGAAATGATTTCAATTTTTAAGTAACACAATTAAACATGAATAAAAAATGTTTTCATATTTGAAACGGTTAATAAAATTGTTATTCAAATATAAATTTATTTGTTATGATAAATAAAAATATCTATTTAAATGAAGTCTTTATTTTCAAATAATTATTTATTTAAATAAATTGCCCAGGTACTTAAATAAATCCTTAACCACAAAAATAATACCCCCTATATAGTTTAAAAAAAAAAACATGAATAAGTCGAAATACCTTACTTGGAACATAACTCATGTTGCTGTAAGTAGTTTCATTTACCGAGAGTTATTAGTTGTCTTGGTGTGAAATTGAACGACGACACGGTGCTATTAATATAATAAACAAAATTTAATGTCAAAATCACTTTTGGACACTAAAGAGTTAGTCGATTATATTTATTGGTTCTACAGACAAGGAGGTCAATTTTAAAAACTATGAATAATTAGCCTTCAAATTATTGACCTATAAACTGAAAAATGAATCAAGATTTAAGAAGAGATTAATGACAAAAAATTATCATTAAAAAAAAAAATGAACATGCAGGAATCGTTTACGCCTAAATTTGACTTTAGTACATTTGGTTTTACGTTTAACCCTTAACTTGACAAGGATAAACATTTGAAATTTAATAGCCTATAATATAAATAATAAAACTACATAGTTGGAAAAAAAAAAAAAAAATAAGGATTTCAATTTATATATTTTTTGAGTAAAAACACTGAAATATTAATACACTCCTGTGTCGGTTAAGGTGTGAAATACAAATTTTATAAAATATTCATATAGAAAATAAATGATCAAATGTATGCTGTAAACAAAGTATAATGTATTATTAGAAGCAAGTGTATGTATCGTTACATTCATATAAACTGTACGTAACTACTGTATTTGTTTAGTTTTGCAAGAGAACAAATAACTTGAATATATATTTTTTTAATTGTCTGAACATTTTTAACAATAATACCTTAGTTTTAGCGATTTATGGATAGTGAAAATTTAATTGATAATAATTATAAATAATAAAAATCTGGCGATTCGTTTAGTTTACAAAATTTAACATCATGTAAGTGTCAAATTTTTACTAAGCCGAGCATATTTTTTTTTTTAATAAATCAACTCAATTTGAAAACAATAATTTCATGTAATTGATGCAAACAAAGTATACTGGCTCCAATAATAAAAAGACAATAATTGTTTTAGTATTAATAACAATATAAAATTCAACCAAATACCATTTATTGAAATTCCAATAAATTTGTTACATTTTTTTAACAATACCCTAATACAAATTTTATTACATCAAAAAATAATTTCTCTTAGCTTAAAATTATACTTTAAACAAATTGTCTGGTTTTTATGTGACATATTAACTTTCGTGTATAGCATCAATCATTGCTCTCAAATGTTCAGGATCAACATCGGGATAAATGCCATGACCTAAATTTGCAATATACCTTCGGTTGGTGAATTTAGTTTTCATATTTTTAACCATTTCTTTAATTTGATTGGTTGGTCCGTATAGAGCACAAGGATCCAAATTGCCTTGTAAAGTAATATTGTCGCCAACGATTCTTCGCGCTTTAACAGGATCAACTGTCCAATCCAAGCCGACGACTTCATATCCCAGGGTGGATAATTCTTTTATAGCGTAATGCCCGCCCTTGGCAAACACTACCATGGGTACGCTTTGTTCTTTCAGTTCGTTTTTGACTCCTTTACAAATGGCTGATATATAAGGGCCACTAAACCTAAATTTAAATAAATACAATTTTAATTATGTTCAGTTTGTATAACAAATGAGACGGGTTCTACAAACCTATTAAATAGTTCTAAGTTTAAGTGTTCGGCATTGGATTCAAATACTTGTAGCATTTGAGCGCCGGCCTTTACTTGTTCTATTAAATATTTTATTATAACGTCGGTGAGTTTCTGTAATAATTGTTTGCTTTCTTCTGGATAAGTATATAGCCATTTCTTGGACTTTGACATTGTTTTAGAGCCTCCGCCTTCGATCATGTAACACATTAATGTCCATGGGGCACCGCTAAACCCTATTAAAGGTACCTATACAAAATTAAAATGCTTATTTCTCGACAATCAAGAAAATATATTTTAACAATCGTTTCACTACTAACTTGACCGTCGAGTCGATGCCTAGTAAGCGTTATAGCCTCAAACACATATCCCAACTCCTTATGAACATCAACGTGTTCTTTCAGTCTGTCCAAATCACAAGGTTCCCGTAAAGGGTCTATTATAACGGGTCCAATGCTGGGTTGCATCTCGACATCCATGCCTAACGCTTGAACAATTACAAGGATGTCGCTAAAAATAATAGAAGCGTCCAAATCGAATCTCTTGATCGGTTGGAGCGTGACTTCGCAAGCTAGCTCCGGAGTGCGGCATATAGTGAAGAAGTCATGACGGGACCGTAACTCCCTAAACTCAGGCAGATATCGGCCAGCTTGTCGCATCACCCATATGGGAATCCGATCAACATCCTCGCCTCTTGCGGCCCGTAAGATGCGATCATTTTTCAGAACGGGAAAATTCATCTTAGAACTATAAAATGATAAAATTAAAATCGCTTAGCATGTATTTGAAATTGTATAAATAATTAAATATTAACCAAAAATTAGGCAGACGTGATGCCAATTGCCAACTAGTGCAAATTTGTTTTGTAATAATAAATTATAATTATTTAAATCGTAGATAAACGATAACAGGTGATAAGGATAACAGATAATTATTGTACTTGATAATAGAAAAACCGTGGTAACCACATGTAGGGTAACCATAGTGTTTTACCATTGCTTTCCGCTCAAATTCATAGCATCCAATTCTTCATTTATAAATTCTTTATTTACTTCATTATTTTGATAACTTATATGAGTTTATATAAGATTATACTAAGTTCTATATTGTAATCAAAAGATTGATTTGTGTAGAACTCAGAAATTATTACATAATATAATATTATGTTTTACAGGTAGCAATAAAAAAGAAATGAAAAAAACCCTTAGAATCTTTGTAGTTCTTTTTTTACGGTTATTCAATTAATTGAGAATATTTAGTGTACAATTTTTATAGCCACAGGTTCGAGCTATTTTTTAAGTCTAGGAAACATTAAGACGACATAGGCTTACAAAATTAAAAATTCTACATTAGGTTCTCATTGTGTTGAAAAAATAACTACGAAAGAACAATTTAAATTTCTTTAAAGATTGGTTTTGGCATATCTGATAATATACTCTTAGGCTTAATAGTGAGGTAAATATGTTTAACCACCAACTCGACAACACTTGGAAATGTACCTCGTCTGTTGCTAAGGCGTTCTTAATAAAGTACAACTTGTAATTTTATTGATAAAACATACATTCATTAAGATAATATTACATTATTTCGTTTGTTAAATTTTATTTTAGATATATTTTACAATGGCTTGTAAACTTCCAATGATTCCGGGATTTCAAATCTGTAACAAAGTAAGCGCAACTACATATTTTACGTATAATATGTACTATTGTTGTTTTGATATTATTAATCATTTATAAACTGTTAAAAATTAAAATATACTCAACTATGATGAATTAAATTTTAAAAAACCGCTAGATAAGATAATATTATCTAACAAACCGAGCTATGCAAAATCCGGGTTTTTAGAGTTTGAAATATCTCAATCTAAAAATCTTTAAATATGTTTGACTTTCAATATCTCGTTTTAAAGAATTTGTAGTTTGCCACTCTACCGACAAAAAATACACTAATTTGGTACTATAATAGATTTGGCAGGGGCTTTGTAGCTTATTGAATTATGAATTCAATATAAAATTATCCTTATGAATTTATTTTAGTTATTTAAATTTTCTTTTAATTACAGAACATGAAATCCAGACATGCGAAAACGCCAGATTTAGACATCATGAACGGGGTGAATATAGTTAGGTCTCTGCACGTAAAACACAACAAAGGCAAAACCAATAATTATAAAGCAAAGTATAACTTCGACATGGACTTGGAAAGACAATCAACCATGCCTACTTGGTTGGTGTATGATAAACAGGTCTGAGAACTATAAATAGTAATTAATTATAACAATATATTTATAATAATAAAAATATTTAGGTATATTGATTTATACCTATTCTTTTGAGTGTTTAGTTATTTTATAAAATTATTAAACAATATTACTCAATTAATAGTTGAAAGTTATTAAAGGTCTGTGATTTAGATTGTTATTAAATATTGTTTATGCTGTAGTTTATATCAATGCAAGTACCTAACTGTTATTAGTAGCTTGCTTTAGAAAAACAATTTTTAGGATTCTTACTTAATTGTTTTGAGAGAGCTTAAGTCTTAAGTTATCGTCTTTTAAATTAATTAAGCTCGTAACTTAACAATTCAGTTGATTATTTAACTTTTCAAAACTCTGAAGTCTCAACCTATTAACTCGGCTCTTCGTTTTTTAAACCGTATACGCCCAATATTGCTTTAAGTAACAAGTTTTTTATTTTATTTTCCAACTCGACAAGAATTCTATAGTCACTAGTGTTTTTTAAGTTAAATATAAATTTTACAATGTCTTCTGTATAATTATTAATATACATAAATTACTACTGTAAATACTACTAAGGGAGCTCGTTAAATATTTACTCTATTGTATAAGTTTATCTCGTTATAGACGGGTGTAGCAGAAAAGAGTATAATATATAACAACTATCACTAAACAAACAGTAAAAGTATATATTTAATAAATAAACAGAGTAGGAACTATACAGTGATATACTAAATGTAAATTGCCTACGCAGTCGCCTGATCATGTACAAATAAGGTATTGTCTGAAATATCAAACAGTAAAATATTATTCTTTTTTTTTTTATTAGGTATAGTGATAATATGACAATGTTCTGTCAATGTATATATGTACATTTCAAATAAAATATCAAAACTAGGTGTAGGTAAAAATTAGTTTACTTTATTAGTCGCCTATTATAAGATTATAATTCAAGGTCAATTATAGTTTTACTGTATTTTTATCAGTAATCTTATACGTTCATTTTATAAAGGATTATAGTAAATAAGTACCTACCTCTTTTTTTTTGTGCTTGCGAGTCAATAAAAAAAACTTTAGACCCATTTTAAATATCCGGCTGTCGTTTTCTCGTTGCATTTAAAGTTGTCTTTTAAACATTTTATAACGTTCATACTATCCTATCGAACGAGCTTTGACAAGATTTTTTACTTGGCGAATTAACTCGAGCCGGTTGCCAACATAGTAAAGCTGACTGGACGACTATGGAAGCCCGTGGGAGCTGTTATCGTTTCTCTAGACCAGCTATTCTTAGACTTTATCCGATTAAATCAATTTTTTTTCCCACAAAATTCTGTTCTGGCAACTATACGGTGTCAGGAAAATGGTTCAATAAATGCTTCTAAAAAAAGAGGATTTTTCAGCCGAGTCTGCAACCACGAAAGAGCATTTTCATGTCTCGTTGAAGTACCGAATTAATTTAGAGTAGTGGTGGAATTATAGATAATGAAATAGTGTATTAAAATTAAACAAGCAGGAACAAGCTAGTATCTAAGGTGGCTGGTAAACATATCAAGTTTCTGGCTAGTATTTTAGTGTTTAATCTGGCTTAAAACAATTCATACAAGTATGACCTCTTAAATGATTGAATTCATTTTAGTTCAGTTCTAGTTTGAACGTTGTGAATACCAAATATATTCACAACGGCAATATTCCCCCTACCCCTATCAATTACCCCTACCACATAGACTTGGGGGTGGGAATGGGGGAAAAGAGATAGGGGTGAGAGATATGATGTATTCACAACGATCAAATTATAACTGAAAAATAAATTCAATGTAATTTAACGAGTCATATTTCCTATGAATTGTTTAAGGCCAGATATTATGAAATCACTAAAATATAAGCCAGAAATTTGTTATGTTTACTAGCTACCTTAAATACTAGCTTGTTAATATACTATTTCATTATCTATAATTCCACCACTACTACTTTAAATTTATTCGGTACTTCAACGAGACATGAAAATGCTCTTTCGTGGTTGCAGACTCGGCTGAAAAACTTTTTTGGTAACACTTTTTATCCCATCCCACCCCCAACCCCATTCCCACCCTCCTCCAACCCCATCCCTCATCTCTAATCTCTTATCAGATACGCTTTTGTAACACAACGCTTTTGTAACTAACAATTTTTTCGGTTATGTGCCAGAGCTAAGACATGAAAATGTCAAAAATCGAAACGAGTTTTACGAGCTTGAAAGTTAATGAATATGTTTGAATTCATAGAAATTAATTTGTATTTCTGCTCTGACTTTCATTATAAGTTTTAACAGTTTCGGACTTTAAATATGAGGTATTAATTATTCATTTACAGCCATTATAGGCATCTGTATATTATTGTCAGTAATAATTTTGCTTGTTATACTTACATGTAAATTAAACAACATTTTTTATTACTAGTCCCTTTTTATAACAAATAGTACCTCCCTATTGTTTAATTTTAATAAATATTATTTCGTCGACCGTCGTTTTTCAGAAAATGAAAAATGATTTTATTATTTTAGCGAGTCTCCTTTAACAAAAAAGTTTCACCACTCTAATTCTATAGATTTTCGGCTACAACTATAGAAATAAAAATGTTAACAAAATGGCTTTAAATATTTAAAAATAATTTTTGGCCAAAGTTTTTATAACATTTTACTAAACTAATGTTCTTAAAAAACTGTTTTATATCTTTACAAAAAAAATATTTTTGAGTGTATATTTTATTTTTATTTTGAAATGAGTTATAGATAATATATGTGTGCTTTAGGCTTTGACATTTGACGCTTACTTTGAAGACAATACGCCGAACGATAATTACGCCGACAGTTATAATATAAGAAAGTGCAAAATAATTTATTTTCTCGAAGACGATACAATAAAAGTTATCGAGCCTGTTGTAGTCAACAGCGGAATACCCCAAGGTAAGGTTTTTTTGAAAATATTCGCGGCGTGCCTTAGAATATTTTTGGATATGCTATTGTTGTCTAAATGGGATACAAAATACTAAATGTCAACTTCCTAGCTATTATATAAACATAATCTACCGCCTATGACATGTTCATAGCTGGCCATTAAAGCTGCACTGCTTGTGGTTGGTAATTTATCTTAAACAGTCTCGTTAGAATTTTAATTTTAAATGGCCTATCGCTAACCCCACGTAGTTAGTTAATTATTATTTCATAAACGACCCGTAAGGAAAATAAGAGTTGGGCGCCACCGGCTAAGGTTGGATTTTGTGATTTTTGACCTTCACGCCATTGATTTTTTTTAATTTGAGCCGACCGAAGTCGAAACTTTTCAACGTTATCACAAGCGACAATCGTGTAACTAAAGCAAGTAATATTGTGAGTGCATGACAACAGTGCAATACAACTTTGTGGATTTATTACTATAGCGTGACGACTGTTGTTATCATCGGCTATTGAACGCAGTCTAAATACTACTTGTGTAGCTGTTTATAGTGGTACTTACGGTTGCATATTTTATATTATTACACGCTTATATTTTTTTATATGGTGTGAAAAAATTAACAATCAATAATTAATCGTCATTAGTATGCCACACAAAACAAAATATTTGAATAAATTTGTTCTAAAAAAATGCCAATATGTAACTCATTAAAAAAGGTTATATATGACTAAAAGAAAATAATATTTGAGGAATTATTCGTATTAGATTAGAAGCAGACTTGGTCAACTTTGACTTAATTAACAAATAATAATTTTCTAATGATTGAATGACTCTCAATTAACGGTATGTTGAACAATTATTCAGACGTGCAAATAATTTTTTTCTTTTGTTGTTTAAAAATTGAATTGGTATTTTGTAATTTGCAAATTTAAAATCTAAGTAGCGAAGGTTTTTCTTTACAACGTACAAACATCACCACAAACTATGTTGTCATTATGGAATTTCATATAAAATTATTAGAGGATTCCAAGGAATTATGTGCTTGGTTAACTGTAATCTAATGTCAATTAAGTTCCAATTAGAACTCCTAGAGCTCCCAAATTGGAATGCCGTTGATAAGATTTGACAGTCTAATAGCAGTGGTAGCGTCAGTCAGTAGTAGCGCGAATTTAAATAGAATTTTTCTTGAAAATTACCTGAATATTGTAAAGGGAGGCATATCATGTTAACAATAAAACCTATCAAGCCAAAGTAGAATAAGAATATTGTTGAATGAATTACAATGAATTAAATTGTTGGTAGGGAGAAGATAGGGAAATTAAGGGTTACACTGACTTCTGGAGAAAATATTGGATAGGACATTGTACGATGAGAACTTGGTAGTTAGTATATTACTGTATTTAATATACAGGAAAACGTTAGATAAATAGTTTAGACATTTAGATCCAATCTCTGCGTGAATCTCAATATAGTACAATAATAATTAATTTTTAAGTACAATATTATAATAATGCGTTGAACTACCAATTATAAATTGCTAGAGTAATAATTATTTAATTACTATTATTTTTGTCCATTTATGTTACATAATAATTCAATAGACCATAAAATAATATTATACTGATTACTTTGTATAAACAGGGTGTTTGATCAAGAGACACGCTATTCCGGTGCCCAACAGCGACGGCGAATGCTATCAAATTTATGATCTGAATGTGGGAACTACTGTTGAGTTTTACGGTAAAAACTTTACCATAACAGGAGCTGATAGTTTTACTAGAGAATTTTTAAAGAACTCTGGCATGGACGTACCGGATAACTTGCCCATGCCTGATGACTCATCGAGTGTTGTAATATAATATCATACAATTTATGATACCGTTATACGCATAGATTAAAATTGATGTGTAATTGCTTAGACTAGGACGGAAACCAAACATGAACAACAAGATCTGTTGAGAAATGCAATAGAATTTGATGGCATTTTGAACTTTAAAGGTTATTGGGACGATCGTCATAACGTCGACGGAATTTTGCACTATTTTGAAATTCAATATTTTTTAATTGACGATACAATGAAAATTGTCGAACGTGATCCGAATAATAAGCTCAAGACGTTTTTGAAAAGACAAAAAATCCCCAAAGTAATTACGCTGTTTCTTCAAGTAGTACATCTTCATTCTCGTTTGATTCCATGGAAATGAAGTCAGTAGGTTAAGTTCCCTTATCAACAAATGTCTATCGTTCGTCGTTTCTTTATTCACTCCACGTCCACTTCTTCTCCGGTCAAATTGTCTCTCAACTGGGAAATAACCAACACACTTATGCATAACAGGTCTCCTAAATCTTACTGAAATATTTTAGTTACTAATCTATATGCAGTAATCATATGTAATGCGAGTAATTTGTTGTTTATTTCCAGAATAACGAATACATTAAACCGCCAGGCTCGTGTGAACCATACGATTTGCTCAATGTCTTAGGAGCAAACCCATTGAATCGGTGGTTTGCATTTGATCCACTATCGAATTTAAGGGGTGCAAATAACACGCATTACAAGTCGAATGATTTATATATTGGAGCGGAAATCAACGTATATGGTCGTACGATAGTTTTAAATTACTGCGACGAGTTTACAAGACAGTTCTACATAGACAACGGCATAAGTAAAAAGACCATCCTTTCGTCCTCAACGGGACACCGTTTTTTGTTTAATATCGATTTTAAATAATACTTAGGCCATTTTTCGCCCGTTTGCACTCCGAGAGAAACGGAAGAGGTCGAAAATGCGACAACGAAAAAGCTATCGGTCCAACGTGATGACAATAGGATTTTAAGTAAGCTCCAGAATGACGGCAATAATAGTATTGAATCTTTGGTGTTCAAAGCTAAAATGTTATCCAACGAACCGGACGATGAAATCAGAGACTTTGTCGTTAAGTGTCAGTTGAACGATCAGAGCTTTACTGTTTTCGAAGTGAAAGGCAAAAGAGCCGGTAAATCTAATGCTTTTAAATGGTATTCTATTTTTTACACAATTTACTCTTCACATTACTCTTATTTTTTTGCAGGCAAACAATTTCTTTCCAAACGGAATATCCAAAGCGAAGGCACTGAAAGTATAGCGTTTAATTTGTACGCCGGTGTTGAATTGACAATAGACAGCTTCCAGTTCGTTCTTACCGATGTCGACGACAGAACGTTAAGATTTATGATGAATCATCCAGTAGAGGTATAGATGATATAATGATGCTAGATAGATTGAGCCCTAGAGGGTAAACAAAAAGTACACATCCGGGTATTTTTTCAAGGGGTTTGGCTGTACGGGCGCAAAAGCCTTTGATATTAATAGTCAATTTTTAAATAGTACGTGTAATATCTTTTGATAGTTGTTACTTGTTTTGGCAACACTCTGGCGCTGAGGCGTGTGCGCGGTGTGGGCAGCGGTCCGCCGACAACGATTTATTAGCGTAAAAAAATGAGTTGAATTCCCCGGGCCGCGCGATCGAGATTTTTATTTTAGTTAATTTGAAATTAAAAGTTTTAAACAGTTGTTTTGTGGTACTGGCCCACAGGTTTCTGCATCCTGGATAGTATGGATACAGCTATGCGTAAATTCGGCCCTGACTACTCGGTTTATCAACTCTGGCAAAAATAATAATGGGATTTATTTTGTCTTTATATGAAAACCTGAAAAAAAACCTGTACTAAAATGGTATGTTTAAAAAGGACACCTTTGTGATAACCCTTGTGCGTGCGGTACTCTTTTATACATAATATCCGGACAACACATGAAGAATAAAAATCTCTCACCAGACACCACCGCAGCAGCCCCTCGCTCTAAAACCTGTCGTTTGCCACGCACCTCACGTACCGCCTCCCCGTCCCTTCCGGACTTCCAACCGCGCATGTGTGCACTGCATGTAATTCCCACGAGCCACTCTCATAACAACAGTGGTATTAAAAAATATAATGTGTACTCGCGAATTTCGGTTGATCCTCCAGGGACTGAATTATTAATAATCGAGGTATGTGTGTAAGTGTGTGTTTTTTTAATTTCTACAATGTTAACAGTTTCCCCACAGCGACGTCCAGTCTCTAATGAATCAAGTGATCGGAATAGGTCAAACGGCCATCGACAGTATGTATTCGGTCGATTTCAAGGGCAAAGATGTAATGGACCGAGATGAGTTTATTCAAATACTGAGCGACACCGTGAAACAATTGAGCTTTCACGGTGTATTGGTGTTGGCTTTGAGGTATAAAAAACCGCAAGACAAACGACGAGACGTGTCCGACGACAGGTTTAGGAGCATTTTGCAGGACGAGTTGAGGAGAGAACTGTTTGCCTCTTTTGATGGCCTCGAAATCAACTTAAAGCAAAGAAACCGAGACAACAGAGACGGTTATCTCGACCGCGAAAGCGTCTTGAGAGCACTAAAAAGTAGCAAGATACCGTTTTCCGTCGAAATTACCGATACTCTTTTGGATAAGTAAGCTCAAAAAGGCGCTTTAATTCACACAACAAAAATGTATTTGATAATCATAATAACTGTCACAATATTTTTTAATATTTTAAAAATCAATATAATTCAAGTCGTAGGTATATCGACAGGAAATGACATTTGTGTCTTCAATATTTAATTTGTTTTCCAAAATACTGGTTTCAAATGTGTTTACACGGTGAACAACTAGTAGGTTAGCTAATTTTTTTAAGACGTGACATTTTTATTACAATATGTTTATAGAAAAAGTATAATATAATCATTAATCTACGGTACGGTGTATTGGTTTTATTCATGATAACTTACTATATTACTATACAAGCAGCATTTTGTTTTCATATGATATTATATTATAATAGAATTCTAATCTATCGAATTTTGTGATTATCTTATTGTTGCGTAAAATTAGTTTTAATCTCAGATATAAAACACCGTTTGTTTTAGAATAGGTATACTCTGAATTATACTCTGATAAAAATAATATACTTAAAATTTAACCTAAACAACAAAAAAAAACATTACAAATTTCTTCAACTTGTCCGCAGTTATCAAATATATAAAAAGTTCAAAAACATGTTAGTTTTACAACATCTTAAAAATTTGTTTTCATACTTATTTTTGCTACAAGTTGTAATGTTCTACAAATGTTATGTACAAAATGATGCTATACAATTTTTTGACAGCATTTTAAAATTACTTAATTTTGTTTGCTTGGAATAATACATTTTACATTGAATAACACGCGGCCCTCTCGTTAAGTCGTATACAGAGAATATTTAGGTTTAAAAATGAGTATTTTATTTTTCAAGTATGTGTTATCACTTATCAAATTATTTTGTATTTTACTACTGCTTAAAAATATCAAAAGTTAATTACGTAGCCCATCTCTGATTATAATTAATATATTTTACATCAAACCTAAAGAAACATTTTTCTAAATTATTGCGTGCTATAGTTATTAAGAAAACATACAATGATAAATAACTTGTTCTTATGGTAAGAATTTAAGATACTTTTACACATTCTATCGTACGACACGAATGCAATGATCTACACCAGATGTATGCAGCGTGTGCGAGGAAAAAACAAAGGGACCGTATTCCTGTGTGTAGTTCCGAGAACATTTGAACACAAATATTTAAGAATTATTTTTAAACAATTTTTACACTTATTTTATTATGAATAACGTCTGCTGTTTTGTTTCTGATCTTAAAATATTATAGTGTTAAATGAAAACTCTATGAAACTCTATGAACTCTATGAAATATGCTCTGGGAGAAGTTGAATTATTTTAAATAAAAAACCGATTTCATTTTAGATTTACCAATAGAAGCACCAAAAAAGTTTGCTACGTTGATTTGTTGAAATACTTGGATTACAATTCCGAATCGGCCGCGAGCTCACAAGATTCGATCAAGGTATTGTACGACAATCAGGATTAACTCTAAAAGCTATTAGCATCACAAAGCATAGACTAACGCGTCCATTAGTTTAAGAATAATTTAAAACGTGTTCCAATCGTCTAGTCGACTAGTTTCAGTAGATTATAGAAGACCCGTAGACCTCACCGTCTTCACTGTGTTGGCTTTTTTAAGTTTTAGTATTTTTTTTTCTGCTCGTTTGGAATCTATTTACCTAGGAATCCTAGGACCCTGGACCAGCTAAATAGTAGAGGTACGCTTATTGTATCGAAAGTAATCGACGTTTTTTTATTTTTTTTTAGGACTTGCTCTTCAGGAAACCTGAGCGGGTGTTGGTGAGAACTCGGGAGTTTATCGACGACTTGAGGAGACAATTTTACCGATAATACAACGGAATACAGTCTACAACTGATAACGACTGTTAAAGATAATAATAATTACACAACAATAATTTTACGTCGCTTTTCCCCCCACGCCACCTATTGGTTGCCAACGTGCGGCCGGAACTCAAGTGTCGGCGTCACGGCAAACTGGTTGGTTTTGGAAACCACTCCACATGTGTGCACTACACAGTTATACTATTATATAGTACACAATCACTCAAGGGCGTGTGTGTGCCAGTAGTTGATCCGAAACGTTCCAATGAGTCAGTGCCGTTTTGTCACACAGTCGGGTTCTGTTCTACTACGTTTTTCTGTATAATAATTGTAATACTTTCGTCGGCAAATGAAAAATAATAGTGTACAAACTTTGCACGCAATTATGTCGTAGGAACAATACAATTTGCGATACGTTTTTATTATGCCGTGTTAGTGTACCATAAAAATTACACAGTTTTCGCGTTCGGTACGAATCTAAATTTCGCGATTAACCGCATAATCTATATTCGAGTGTCAAGAAAAAACGCCGTCAACAGTAGATTACAAAGGTACGTCAACTGCAATAATAATAAGTCTTTGTGTGTGTGTGTGTGTGTGCAGATAGTGTAGCAGATATTATTGAAATAACATAAAGTGAGTGTTTTTGCAGAGAAAAAAATAATAACATTGAATGGGTCGAGAATGAGTAAATATTTCTCAAAGAAAACCGCTTCAACCGAACCCGTGAGATATTTATAGATCACCTCTTATTATTATTATTATTAAAGCTCATTTCTAATATTGTTAAACGCCCGTTAATTATTACGTTGTTCTTATTATTAATATAAACGTTTTTTATTATGGATTTCTTTGAATCGACAAAAACAATAATTGATATTCCATCATATTATTGGTGTTATTATGCAAGTCGTTTCGAAATGACGACGTTAGGTAATAAATTACATTAATATAGGCAACGAAATATTATGCGTGGGTAGGTACCTGAAGTTTATACACGTGGATGACATTACCACTAAGCTCCGACTTTAAATAGAATAGTTTTGCTATCGAATGAGCCATAGAAATTGTATATTAAAATATGCATTATGTATTACATGACGATAAAAACGGAAAACAATTCCGAAAATAACAATTGAAGGAAATCACGCCAGAAACCCAATCTGGGCTAGTTGGGTTAGCAAAAAAATGTATTAACGTTATTTGTACTTATTTTATAGAACTTCGTATTTTTGTTTATATATATAAAAAAAAAATGTTAATATTTAATTAAAAAAAAAATACCCAAATTTACGAAAAATATGATAAACTAGAGGATACATTTTAAGTAATTTAAGTTATTAAGTAATTTCAAATAATATTTTTTTTAAATAAAATTCTATTTAATTTCATACGTTTTTACTGTTTGAAATAATTTGTCTTTCAATACTTACTTTATAGTCTTTATAGCTATAATACACGGTACACACTTACTTTTTAATTAGTAATTTAACATTTACTGAAGTACATTTTTATTTTAGTTTTTTTAATTTAAATTTGTTTTTATAAAAATTGTATTTAATATTTGAGCATTTGTATTTAATATTTATTATTAATTTATCATTAAAGCAAATATTATTGATTTTATTTTATTTGTTTCATTTAATCCAAATAAGGTCTTTGGTTGCGTCCAGTAACATTGTTTTTGTTCGTAAATCCTTCCAAAGCTACCAAAAACACTTTTTTTAAATTCTTAAATGAGTTTTAAATATGGTATTTGAAAGTTGTTTTCTGCTACATTCAGATCTAATTTCACAATATTGTTGTGACTCTTAGTCCTTTTTGTTTACGTAAAAGAAATTATGTAAATTCTAATGTCTACTTCAAACCGTGAAAAATGGGTTTTAGTTCTAAAAATTAAAAATATTGTTTATAATATTACATTAAATTTTTTTTTTAGTCATAACCTACTTAGGAATACTAGTACTTAATTTCTTTTGTATTTAATATTTGCAACTTTATGAGATAATTAAGATAATTGTTAATTAATCGATTTTTGTGGTATGCTATTTCATCTGTTGTTCATTAATATGTACGGTTATAAGTAACAAATGTCTGCTTGAAAACCGTTTAGTAATCATCTTAAGTCGTCGTCATAGGGGTTGATCTTAGTATAAGTTTTATAAAAAAATATGTACTCTATTACCTTATTATTATAATATCATAATACCTTGAATGTATAAATTAATATTAGACTTATCATGCTAAAGTCACTGGAGCACACTAGGAGTCGTAAAAAGAAGCATTTTCTTTGCTCATTCTGTTTAGTTCAACCCGTCTTGTTACTGACTCAACATATACAATATGTTGTACCATTTATATTATGGCTGTCGGTTGTTTTTAAAATAGATTTGTAAGTATGCGACAACATAAGTTTCTGTCAGTTTTTATTATAAGTCGATTAGGGTAAATAGGATGCCACGTATACCACTTTTTAAAGGGCTACGTAGAGGTACAGGTTCATAAAAATAAATTTTAAGTTAAAAAAATTACTATGTATATTTACTAGTATAGTAATCATGATTCTTGCTGAATTAAAATTTTTTTTTTTTACTCGTAGATTATCACAGCCTTCACTATAAGCGTTTTTTTTTACTTTACATATCATTAAAACGGAAATTTTTGCTTAGCTTCTTAAAAAATTGATGATAATTGTTTTTCGAGAATTTCAAAATTCAGGTAATTTGAGTTTCAAAAAAAATCTTTTTTTTAACGTCTTGGTATTAACCAAGAAATAATTTAAATTATAAAAAACTAAGGGAGAAAGCATGGTACATATGTCTTGACCGTTCTTTTGTCTATGTCATTTTTATACTATAAAGAGTATGTTCAAAGGCATTTATAGAATGCTAACTTGTTTCTGCACGAAAAATAACTGCATGTGTGGCATCCTCTCAAGCTAATAAACACGCCACTTGATGACGCCAATAAATAAATGATAACGACTAAGCACAGTAAGAAGTTATTCATTGGGCTTGAATAAACTTAAAATCCACTATATTAGTCTCAAATAGACGCATTTTACTTTATTTATTCATATTGCAGTTCGTAACTAGCAAATTAAATAATATTATTCGTATAACATAATTATTTAAATAAATAATTTTATTATATAAGTAATATAGATTAACAAATACAATTATTATTTTATTCTAATAAAACTTGTTCAACATTGAGGTTAGGTTTATTTAGGTTCGATAAATCAAGATCAATATGGTAAACATTTTTATTTTATTGTGTCATTATATTAACAAAACCTGTTTTTTTTAAAGGAAAATATTTTATGTATGCGTAATTGAATCAAATTAATATTATTAACTTATAAGTTGTTCTACAGTCTAAACAAATGTAATTAATGTTTTAAAATAGTACTAAGTAGTAATAAGTAAACTTTGGTATTTTTGAACTGTTGACCGGAGACAAATATTAATATTACAGAAGATACTAAATAACAGAGTAAAAAAGTGCCAAGACTTAACCGAACCGATTAACCTCAGAATCTAAACCAATTTAACTAAACTAAGTCTAAACAAACTAGACATAGCTTAAACTAAACAAACCAAATTGAACCTAACCTTCTGATAGTACATTTCTAACTAGATTTAGAATGAAGACATTTTGTAGATTAGGCTAACATTTTTTTTTTTTTTAAGAGGGCGTCGCACCGCCTTTTTTTAAGGAGTAAAGTATAGGCAATTTTTTACAAAATCTTAATTTAAAGGTTAAACTGTGATGTGTAATAATTATTAGTTCAATAACTAGGACTCTATTTTGGTAGTTAATTTATTTTTTGGACTATCACAGCATCCCTGAAAGCGATTTAAAAATGTTTTTTCATCTCAACTTGTTTAAGCAGACTGAAAATAACTCGCTTAATTTTGGATTTAGAGTAAAAGCACCTATTATAAAATTAAAAGAAAACAATATTTCGGAGGGCAAGAACGTTTTTTCGTTATTCTAAGTATAACGCTCATTACATAGTTTAGAAATAACGACTATTTTAACATTTTTAAATGACTGTAATTTTCAAAAAAATGAATTTTTTTAAAAAAACGCACCGTCTTGCCCTCCGGAGTATTGTTTTCTTTTTATTTTATAATGGGTGCTTTTACTCTAAAATAGAAATTAAGCGAGTTATTTTCAGTCTGCTTAAACATGTTTTTACCACTGAAAATCACCGGTGCGACGCCCTCTTAAGGAAATTTGATTTACTACGACAACTGTTCTAGTTCTGTGGCTTAAATATAAGCTGGAAATTGTCATTTGGTACAGGTGTTGAAGTAAATACAAGATGAATTACAGTTTATTTTTTATTTTATTTACACACAAACGTAAACAAAGTTGGCGTGCTGCCTTTACTAATTATGGCATACCAACTCTTGACACAGAATACTTTTAATGCAATTTGTGTTAATACATGTATTAACAAATCGTTTTTAGTATAACAAATTAGTGTTAAAATAAAGTACTAACAGTAATAATAATTGATTATAATGTAAACATTGCAAGTTCATACACAAAATACAAACAAATAAAAAATATGTAAACAAACGTGAAAGACTTCCGAAAAAAAAAACTAAAGCATAATAATAATAACACTTCTGTTACTTAACATTTCTCGTTCGATTATATTATTTTCTATTGGCTTAAGTATAGTGTTTAAGTTTTCCAATTATTAATACTGTATAGGTAGGCTACCGGTATGATCATTATTTATTTTAATTTTAAAACAGTCAACACATTGCCGTTGCGGTTATTTTTCTAGCATATTGTTAATTACCTTAATAAAAACAGTCTAAAAAAACATTATTTTTAATAATTTATTTATACTATATTTTATTGCGAGTAAATTGCTATTTTGATATTTTAGTTACCTCCGACAAGTACTAGTGATCAGCATACACTAATATACAAACCAACACTAATGGGGGCTTGTTGGAATTCGATTGAAGTCACCCAAACGATTAGTCATCAGAGGTTTTCACTTTTGCAGTTTAGTAACTTCTTTATTAACAACTACTACCTACTGCCACTAGCTGAACCAGCTGTTTGTTTTGACCTGATGAATGCGAGCGATCGAACAAGGAGGTTTCAGGAATTTAAAAATCACAAATTAATTACTCACGAGTTTACCTACAAAATGTTTGGAACGTTGTGCAGGATGTAAACACAATAATATGATGTTCGATGACGCATACTATTGATGGATATGTTATGAAGTTATGTAGTAACCTAACCGGTAACGCTTTTGTTTAATGCGTTCTATGGGAATGTACTTGTAATTTCACAATATTTAATTACATTTTCAAAGATTTAAGACAATTTTAACGTAGGTTTTTTCACAGCTCACGAATAATGCAATTTTTTTTATAAAATTTAGTTTTTAAAACTAGTACCAGTTTAATAAACTAAATTTCGTAAAAAATTACATTATTTATGAGCTGAGAACTAACTTATAATCTAAACCACACGGTATTGCCCCTACTTCCCAAACGATCATAGTATAATAATT